TATATATATATATATATATATATATATGTATATATACACACACACATATACGGCACAAGTTCTGTAAAACGAATATATGGCGATGACTCTTTGTAGTCAGATAAGACTCCTGTCAAATAAAAGTTGAATTTAATGAAACCGTAAGCAAATGAAAAATCGTTACGAACGTATAAATAAAATCATAACATAAACATAAACCTTATAAAAATGTTCCGTTTTTTCGGCCATTGGAGTCAGAAGTGATCCCAAAGGGCCTAAGCATTAGTCATATTACATTCAATTGTAAAATTCACTAATGCGTTTGCTCTGAATATTTACATTTAGAAAAGCGTATTGTACATTTATACCAAGTGTCACGCTAATTGTGCTTATCATATTTCCCTTTCGAAATGCATTTTTTTAGTGAACGTTTTCGCATAATAAACAAAAGTGGACTTAAATATTCAAGATCAAACGATGCCACGAAAATAATTCGACATAATTTAACTTCAGTTCAAAACTTCGCTTTAAAATAATATAATCTTAACAGTGATTACTTTTCAACCATTATCGATAAATAATTTCGTGGAAATACTAAAGTACTGTGGCATTACACTTAAAAATACGAAGCAAATGCTTAGAGAATCCAAAGCGGAATGAAGAGAATTCACTGCCTTATTTTTTGGCTTGTCTCCTTTTGAATATTTTTGAGACATGAGAAATATATTATTGCAAAGTAACAATTTAAAAAACATGTGAGTTTTTGGTAGCGAAAAGAGCACGTCGGTGAAAGGATCTCTCCAAAAGAGCATAATATTTTTATAAAACAATCATCTCAATATGGAAATGGAAAATGGGTTGTCTAACTTACAGCACTTGCCGACGTTTACGAAGCATTCCATTTTTAATATTTTTGCGAAAAAGAACCAACGAATTTATTAAATTAATGAAACGTTGTAATTTGTATTCAAAGCGAAATATATTGATTAAAAATATAAATTTAAATACGAACACAAAATTGAAGAGAGCACTATAGTATTATATCATGTTCAATCATGCTCAATTTACGGAAACTTTTCACTTTTAGAAAGAGAAACTACTACTTCACATTTGCCGTTACATTTGACATCTGTGAAACTGTACTGACGACTAAGACGTATCCCTTCACTAGCGACATTTTTTTTTTATTTTTTATCCCGGCAACTTTATTGTGGTATATTTCATTCGGTTTCCTTTTACAAATTGTACCAAATTATAGTACTAGGAATAAAGAGTAGAAGTTAGACAATGTACATATCTTGTCCGTGACAATTGATTATCACCAAAATTGATGGTAATTTTACTGAATTTATATAATTTTAAAATTTATAACTTTCATTTATTTTACATTAATAAATTAAAAGTACTGAAGCGATTTTTGGATGATTATTTCCGTTTTTCAGCCATTATTGGCTTGTGAATATCAGGCCTTTTTTTAAAAAACCTACCTGTGAAGTTAACGTTAATCAGAAGTGGCTGGGGTGATTTAGCAAATATAACATGACAACAGATTTAAGATATAAGAAAAGAGGATTGATATATTCTTCGAATTTGGAGAGAGGAAATCGAATTATCCAAAATATTGACTGAAGATAAAATTTTGTGTCAGAGTTAATGTAGTAGACAGCACTAGATGCAGTACATGCCATTATTATGTGCTTCTATCATATAGCAAATCAGGCTTGAAAATACGTCCTTGACATATTTCTCACAGAGGCAATGAGAAAGCATTAACGTACAACTTTTGAAAATTAAATTGAAATAAAATTAAGTAAAGAGAATGCAATTCGTAAAGTAGCGATGTAAGAAAAACAATTTCGAGTTTTATTGTGTTATTGATTGACAACGAAGGTTTCAAGTAACCGAAGGATGAACTCCCACGCTAGGACGTTATGACATCAGCCTTTAAATGACGAAGCGATGGTTAAGCTGGTTGACGAAGACAATACTTAATGTGGCCACGTACTCAAGGTGAATTTACGAAAGGCCATGAGAAATTGACCAACTATTGCTCCTGAAAATAATATCAAGAACTCATATAATTCAAAGCACCAATAACGAATAAGCAAGTTGTATAAAAAGTTTCATGGACATTTTAAAATCCTTAAAACTATTAGTTTTCATAAATGTGTTTCAAAAAAATAATATGAAAAAGTGCATTACTTAAAAGCACGCGAGCGTACAACGCACGTACAACGCCCCCACACATGTTCAAGTACGCATAACATGTACGCACCATACTTAAAATAAAACTGTCCAAGGTAACATTGCAAAACTTTATCTTTAAGAATGGAATTAAGAATTTACTAATATATAATGAATTTGAAATTGAATCATTTCGAGAATGACGAGAAATATCTGCATCACGTGGATATGTTCCAGGAGTTACGCCCACTTTCAGGCACTTCCTTCTGACCATATATGACAATGGCCTGTCGTTTTAGTTACTATTCCTTGTTCTTTTCTCACCGCAAAAGTATGTTTTAAATACATTTTAAAGAAAAATAAAAATGTTACAATGAAATATCAGGAAACATTATTCGAATTTTATTTTTATTATACAAGAGTAATGATGCAAATAATTACACATTATGTTCATATTTCAAACGTTTAGTTTTTCAAAATCAACCCTGATTCAAAATGAAATAAAAAATAGCTGTTTTTCAAGAAATTCAAACATAATACTATTTCCCTTAATCTTCTTGAAAATGCAATATACATTTTACATTTTTTCTCGTTTGTCATTTATGTAACTTTTCGACATTAAAAAAATGAAAGGAAAAAAGTAGGCTACATATATTTTGTATGAAAATATTTCGTGAATAATATTATCTGCCATTTTTAATGAGTGAGAGTAACTTGTAATATTTTTCTCGACTTTATTAAACAGTTTAGATATTGTTGCTATTAAAAACAAACCAATGTTTAACATCTTGTGAAATTATTGCATTTTATGAAAAGATAGGCTCCAATGTAATAAGAAAATTCACTTAACGTGTCTACAATTTTTTCTAAGGACTTGTGTAACAATAACGCTCATGTCAAATTAATTCAAACGCAATTTAACTCAGTGAAAAATGTAGGTACTCATTACCTCATGGAACTACCACCATTTGTGTCAGAGTTCTCTTGCATATTCTCACAATATAATGGAGAATTAAAAGATAAGAAAAACAAGACGCCACTGGTTCACGCAATTAGTGGAAATGAATGTGAACAACCATACGAAAATCGAAATATACAATCATAAACATGATTCAAACACTCGCGTAAAAATATTATTTAAAAAATCTTACCAGCGGCTGTTGCTTAGTTTCCAGATGGACCCCAGGCGTGGACTGTGTAAGCTGCACTTTCTTCGGCTAGCCAAACCTGGCCGCCTCTCGCGTCCCGTTACCTTGGAGGGGAGGAGTCACCAGTCTACAGGTACACACCTTTCCAATGTACAATATGAACCGCGCCCGCACAGCCTTCTGTCAGGCCAAACAATCTGCAACAATGACATTATTATTGAGAACATCTCACTTGTGGAAGAGAACAAAGATAGTGCATTGTAATAACAATATTTTTCTTATGACCATCTAAGTTTGCGTATTTTGGCATTATTATCACAGTAAATGTGAATACCCAGAAAATCGCAATTATTGTATCATGTTGTGCATTATAATTTATTTTAAACATATTTATAATATAATTGCAATACTGTTTATCGTTTGAAAAGGCATTCTCGATTGTTGATACTATGTGCTTTACTTTGAAAGAAAAATATTATATTTTCAACTCTCAGCGATTTTTGTATTGAAAAACATTTTATGTAATGCAATCGAAATGTCAAATCAATTTCTTTTCCAGAATATTCCGTCAATAATTGGGCTGAATGAGAAGGGACTGATGTGTCATATTTCATGTCTATGACAGGAACACAAAAAACGGGACATTTTTCTTTCATAATTGTTTTGTAAATAACATGGGCGTCACCGCTGAAAGGAGGACCCCTCCCCCAAATTTTTTGGTATATGAGGACTCCTCATTACCTAATCTCTACATTCTCTTTTGAATCATCCTCCCTCCCCCGCACGCAAAACATTTGGTACTAATGACGCACACGGCAAATATATATGAAAATTCGTAAGCAATTTTTATTTGGCGAGGACCTGTTTCAATCTTGGAATTCATCTGGTTTTTGAACTCACGGAATTAAAATGTATTAAAAGGTAGACTTTTGAATTTCAAAATTAATACATATTACTGATTAAATTCAATACTTACAAAAATAAGTTATAATTATAATTATTGTAATTATTATAATAATGTAATAATTCAATACTTACAAAAATAAGTTATAATTATAATTATTGTAATTATTATAATTATATACTTATAATTATTATAATTATCATAATTATTATAATTATTATAATTGTTATAATTATGAGATTATATTTATGAGAATTATAATTATGTTCTTCAATAATTCTCTGAATTTACAATTGCCATATTTTGTTTTCTTCACTGTGCAGTTTACAAATGCAAAAGCATTCAAAATATTTGAAACAATCCGAAACACGCTGCTTGGTTAACTGGAACTTTTTTGAAACATCGCTGTATGCTGTACTTCATAGTCAGGAGATACCCGATTCCTGTTAATGTGGGAAAGTACGTACTACTCGTGTCGTATCCCATTACGGACGTAGAGGCTGAGAGGTGTACAAGATGGAGAAATTGTTGTCTTCCCATTACTATTGTGCTTTGATAAAAAATGTATTTTCTCTGTTCTTTAAAATGCAAAACATATTATAGTTGACACAAAAAATTATTTTGCGGAACTTAAAAAAAACGAAAAAAAAAAAAAGAAAGAAAATTAGGGACCTTTTTTACACCTCTTTGAAACGCGCCTGACGGTGCCCATGATTGCAGATACATTATATTACAAAAATCACATTTTAAAATGCAATTTCAAAACTTAATAACGGCAAGAATTGTTGAGGCTAGGCTAAGAAATTTTTGTTTTTGGAGTCGTAATTTTGTGTAGTAATCATTGCTCCACCTTTGAATGGATTACATTTGACCATTTCTAATAGATAAACAAATTTGAAAGAAATTATTTTGATCCATTAAATACACAAGTTTAAAGGTGATAAATAATAGTAGCTGGAATCTTCCATCGTTTTACGCCGTGTTTTAAATCAAAATCATTTTGAAGTGCCGGCCGTCATGCATTCGTCTGGAATTTATGCAGCAACAATGATATATGCTATTGTGACCATGAGAGAAGTCCCACGAGACAAAGTAAAGGTAGTCAAGTGTTGGTTTTCCCCGTTAGTTTAGCTGTTACAACACTAAACGGGCCGGTTTTTTAGTGGTATGGAGTGAGGCCTGAGTGGAGGGTTTGAAATACACTTCCTCACTGTCACAAGCACTCTGGTGTTAGTTGCGGCGAGGTGCGCCAGATAGCACTGCTTCAGAATCGCAATTTAATCTGAGAAGCAGTGCCATGAGTAGTGATCTTCTCTTTTTATCACTCTTATTACTGTTCTGATAATGAATGGCAGCGAGCGGGAATGATATTCAGAGGTTGATCGTTCATCCTCACAGTTTCGTTTGGTTTCTTGAAGATAGAAGATTGTTCTTGTGTTGTTCGTCGAGTTTGTGTGGTGGAGCACTCCAGCAGTGAACTGTCAAACGTTTTAGAAATCATTTTTCAAAATGCCTACTGTGATATCCAAATACTTAGACACTGCAGCAGCAAAATATAATATTAGAAAAGAGCATTTAACACGTGGTGTGGTTACTGGTGTGGTGGTTTTATATTGTCTAAAAATAGGTTACCCATATATTCAATCCCTTTGTAAGCAAAGTGTTAAATCTGAAACTAATGCAAAACAATCATCATCAAAAGTGGTCACTGAAAAGAATGGGAAAGCTATTTGTTGCACTTCAGAAAAGAAGGATGTCAATAAAAATAATGCAAAGAACAGGAGGAGGAGCAAACTCCAAGTTCTTATTGAGCGAATTGCAAGGAGAATACCGCTCATCAATCCTGAGTTTGTATTTCAGCTGTATCGTTTAGGGAAGTTAATGGTTCCTGGGATATGGACTGCAGAAGCTGGTTTATTGTTTGTGCACACAATGGCACTTGCCACAAGAACTTTTCTCTCAATTTATGTGGCATCAATGGAAGGACAGATTGTGAAGTACATTGTTAGACAGGATGTTACTCAATTTGCCCTTATGTTGTTAAAATGGCTTGGAGTAGCAATTCCAGCAACATTTATAAATTCTCTTATACGATATTTGGAGAACAAAATAGCTCTGGCATTCAGGTATCTATTGTTTTGTGTAGTATAACAATATATAATACTTTATAAACAATATTATTCAAATAACTGTAGTAATTAGTGTCAAACTTATGAATAACTACGTGCTATTTAAGAAAATATTGTATTGAATTGTGATCACAAAATAGTACTAATATCATTAAAAAAATAAACTGACTCATTTTGTAATTAGGATTCGCTCGTTTTTCATGGCAATTTAAATTTTGCTCTTACATATTTTCTGAGTTTTACTTTTATTTTGCATACTTGCCAGTGGGTCATGAGAAGTGGAGCTCTGCTTTAAGTAGATCATATAGAAAAATGTTATTTTTAATGATATATTTATTAATGTAGCTTGTGTTTTTAAACACATTTAAAACATTTCTATGCCTGATAAAATTTCATTAGCCAGGCATGTGTTGCAATCATGGCAAAGCATAGTGAATATTTAAACTAAATACATTGTACATTCATTTTACCCCATTTTGTTTCTGTTAGGACACGGCTTGTCAACTATACTTATGGCCTGTATTTCAAACAACACACATACTATCGAATTGCAAACTTGGATGGACGAATTGAAAATGCTGATCATCGCCTCACTGACGATATAACAGCATTTACTTCCTCTATAGCCCACTTATATTCACATATCACAAAGCCACTTCTTGATTGCCTTTTAATTGTGATGGCTCTTGCTAGAACAAACAGAAAAATGGGCTCTTCTGCTCTACCAGGTATAACCTTTTACCATCATGTTAAATTTTTTTCTTAGAGTTCTTAAACCATTGTAAAAGTTTCATTGATTTTTTGTTTTAATATTTGCTGTTTCATTACTATTCAGCTTTACGTAAATTTTTAAATACTATATGTATTGCGTGGTTTCTTTTCTTTAAAATGTAGTAAGCTAAGTGTTAAAATTGCAGGACCTCTTTTGGCAACGGTGGTCATTATGCTTACTGGACAGATTCTTCGCGCAGTTTCTCCCAAGTTTGGAGCATTAGTGGCAGAGGAAGCCAATCGTAAAGGATATCTCAGATATATACATTCCAGAATTATAACAAATGCTGAAGAAATTGCATTTTATGGTGGAGAAAAAGTTAGTTGAACAAAACTGTACTGTACATTATACATCCTGCCTGACTAGTCATTTGTAAATGTGATGAAACATGAAGTCTTCATTTATACATTTCTTTTTCACTTACTATAAATACTGTCTTAAATCAAGTATTGAATGATGTTTTCAGGTTGAAATTAATCATTTGTCAAAAGCATATGCTTCTCTGGCAACACAAATGAACGCCTTGTTTTCTCAAAGACTGTGGTATATCATGCTTGAGCAGTTTCTTATGAAGTATGTGTGGAGTGGAACGGGTATGATAATGGTATCTCTGCCTATCCTTGCCGCAAACAAATCATGTAAGTGATGGTGTTACTTTGAATGTGCAAAATGTTTAATTTCATGAAATATGGGTAGATTGAAGAGAGATTTTATTTTGATAACTTATTTTCCAGCCAAACGTTCCTCTGAAATATCTGCAGATGATACACCTGATGGGGGAGTAAGCGAAAGAACCCAGTACTTCACAACTGCCAGAAACTTGTTACTTTCTGGTGCTGATGCTGTTGAGAGACTAATGTCATCGTACAAGGTACATTAATGTAATCCATCACATTAACATGTAGTAACGTTTGAGAGTAGTGTTTGCTTTTCAATACCCTATTTTCTTTGAATTTTAGGAAGTTGTTGAATTAGCTGGTTACACATCACGCGTGAGTGATATGCTAGATGTGTTTGAAGATGTGAGTCAAGGCAAATATTATCGTTCTACTGTGTCTGGATCTGAAAATAAATCGTCAAAGAATACATCAGTAAAGTTTCAGTTGGAGTTCAAGGATGGTCAACCTATTCCTCAGGGTATGAACATAATGTTCTTATGAATGCTCAGATTTCATAATGTGTTGGTTTACATGTCACCACCCCTCAGACCAAGAAATGTTCCAATGTGAATAATGAAATTTCTTCTTTAAAATTTATATTTTATTAATTTATTGTATAATATTGTGATATTAAACATTTGAACATTATAAAAAATAATTTATGATAATTATGAATGGAGCTTTTCTATAACAAAGCATTTATAATGCCACATGAGCTGTCCCCTGGGTACTTTCTGGATATCTCCCTTGAGCAACTGCACTGTTATACACTGCACCAGGAAAGTTTCTCTGCACCAAGCCAAATCAGGGGCTCCTATTAAAAATTGCATTTATGTTCGTAGCAACCGGATCACTGGGAAACTAGTAAAGGGGCAACAATTCCAGCATCTGTTAAAATTGTGGCGAGTACACAACTTATGTTTTCATTTGATACAAGCTGCAGTTTGAGCTCCCAACATTATTTTTGTTGAGAGCACAACCATTAGCCACTGGTGCCACTGCGGAGATACTTGACTAGCACACTGTAGTTAATATAGTGTTGTGAAAGCTTTTGAAATGCTGAAGAAAATTTTTCCTTTTTTAATTTGGCAGTAGTTGATGAAAAGTTTAATTCTCCTAGAATAAGAATAGTGAAATGCATTAGGCCAGACCTTTTGACTCCACATATTCCTCCAATAATCTTTAATGTGTAAATGAAGTATTGTAGATTATTTTGTTTCTTGTTTCAGGTATCATTCATGAAACAACTGATGGAACACTTTCACTTCTTAACGTGCCTATCATAACTCCCAACTGTGATGTTGTTTGTCCCAACTTAACTTTAAAAGTAGATCATGATATGCATTTGCTTATCACTGGACCTAATGGCTGTGGTAAATCATCCTTGTTCCGTGTTTTAAGTGGTCTCTGGCCAGTATATGCTGGTGATCTGTATAAACCGCCCATCTCCCATATGTTTTATATACCACAAAGGTGAGAAAAAAATTAATTGAAAGTTATTATGTCTATGTACAAGAATTAATAATGAAATTACGAAGAACATGAAATTGGTAGTAATTTAAGTAATAATGAAGCTTTGGTTCCTAAAAACAAGTTAAATTTCCATTAGTAAATAATTGTCCTTTACCTTGAGGAAGTTCGGAAACATGTTTGTGAAAGTGTAAATACAGTTTGCATTGCATGTATTATTTATTGTAGTTATTTTTAATTATTATTTTTAAATGCCAATTAATATTTCGATGCACTGTCGCTGTCTCTGCTGTGTCTCTGACAGATCCTAGGGTTTGAGTCTCAAAAATGGCAGATTTTTCAATGCTTGCTATTCAGCTAGGTTGTATTTAGCCACTTTCTGGAGGAGAATTCTAACAGCCAGCTGCTCTGATGGGTAGTTTTCATTGTTGTCTTTGTTTTTTTTCCAATCGATACCAGACTAATGCCGGATCAGTACCCTAACAAACAGTCCATAGGCCGAGTTCAATCTTTTCTTCCTTTTCCTTGTCTTGTCCTCTCCCTTTACTTGCACACATTAACACTTCTACTTACATGCATTACACTACCACACATGTTGGTAGCTTAAGAGTTTGTCCTGGCTGGGTCAGTGCTCTGCGGGGTAGATACCTGGAGAGGGAAATCCCCCAAGCTGCGTTGTAGGTTGGCACTGGATCTGAACATCTGCAAGGAAGGAACACCACTACCTCCTGGGATAATATATTAACACTAATGGGATCCTTATTAATATTAACACTAACACATAATACAGTAACAGGACTAATGACAAAGCGTTTGATGTGCTCACAAACGTGAAACAATAAATCAATCAATTGTGGAACAGCAAATTGTTAGAGATTTTCTCTATTGGTAGTTCTGGTATTTTAAAACTTCACAAATTATCCTCTATTATTTGATTTCATTTACTGTTTACATTGAAATTGCTCTGAATAGCATAAAAATTAAATTTAAGTTAATTATAATGTAAGTTAAAGTAGTTTTAAACTTGACATGATCAATTACAGTCAAGATTATTCTCAAAACTTCATATAAGAATTATAATACAGAACAGATTAGTTAGCGGTTTTTTATGTAGTTTATTAAACAGTTTCACATTTTATGTGAAGAAAAACTTGTCCTTTTATTCTTCAAATGCGTTACATACCAGCTAAAGGTTCATTTCATTATACATGTGGTTTTTTTTTGTTAATTGTAATAAAACCTGTATAATTGTGCATTGGGTTTCCATTTCAGACCATATATGCCCTTGGGATCATTGGCTGATCAAGTTATATACCCTGACACTTTAGCAGATATGAAAGCAAAAGGCAAAACTTTTGATGATTTGCAACAGTGCTTGGAATTGGTTCACCTGGCATACATTGTAGAGAGAGAAGGTGGTTGGCATGTTGTGCAAGATTGGAAGGATGTCTTATCAGGTGGTGAGAAACAACGAATGGCAATGGCAAGACTATTTTACCACAGGTAAGTAGATGTGTTAAAGTTGTGAAACACATTTATATATTTTTTTAATAATTTAATTTGTAAGTTTTATCTTGAGATGGAACTTTAATGATTTATTTTCATGAATTTATAACATACTTCTGCAAATGAAGACTGGAAATCTAAAATGTGTTGTGTGCCAAAAAGTACTATTTGCAGTTGTAGAGAAAGTATGTTTTAATTATGTTTTGTGATTCTTGTGCAAGGGGCAATGTCATTTTAATATGCTAAATTCATTAACGATTACTTTATGTATGTATATGTGTATGTGTATATGTGTATGTATGTACCTTGCGTTCATTTGTGATAATGCATATAATCTGCAAATACCTTTGTTCAAATCATTACATTATGGCATAACGGTGATGGATGAAACTGTTACAGCGTTTTCATAAATAAAAACCATTTTTAGACGTAAACATTCTTGATCTGTACTCAAGTATCAAGGAAACTCGGGTACTCAAGTACTCAAGGAAACTGTGGGAAAATAAGGAGAAAACATTTTCTGGCGATTGTGTATTTGTAAAAGAACCCTTAAAATTTTTCTTTCTTTCTCGATAAATAATGAGTAAATCTTTCAAAAATTTATCAATTAGTAATTAAATATTATATTTTTATTTCATGCCCAACATCATTGAGAATGTGAGTCTTGATATAACTTTTTGTATTGAATGTGACACAAGTGCTGTGAAAATACTTGTTTGTAATTTGTAGGATTGAAATTTATTGGAGGACATACTTATTCATTAGATTGTTAAATACTAAAGAAATATTGAGTGCATTTAAGTTGTGTGAGAAAATTTTTTTTGTGGTGATCTCGTTAGTGACAATTAGTACTTCAGATGTAAATTCTCCTTTTCTGAGATGTTTCTTAAATTCATTCTCTTATTTTAATTGAATCAAGTAAATTCTTCTGTAGTTTGTCACTATAATTTATTTTTGTGTGAAATTGAAAGAACTGAATTGTGTAATGAAATTGATTAATGTGTTTTTGAATTATGCACAGGCCTAAATTTGCTCTTCTCGATGAATGCACCAGTGCTGTGAGCATTGATGTAGAAAGTGATATATATCAATCGGTGAAAGATGCAGGAATAACTTTGCTTACTATTACTCATCGACCTTCTTTGTGGTAGGTGGCCAAAACATTTTACTCACCATTGTTTCGGAACTTCTTTCCTGTTTAAAAACTTAACAACAGTCATTATGTGTTTTTCGTGTAAAAGCTTGTTGCTATTTAAGTGTCATGTTTGTAGGAAATTCCATACACATTTACTGCAGTTTGATGGGGAAGGAGGCTGGAAATTAGAGTCTTTAGATTCTAATGTTCGTTTGACATTGAAAGAGGAGAAAGAAAAGTTGGAGGCTCAGCTGGCTGATGTTCCAAGTGCACAGGATAGGCTAAAGGTAATTGTTTTATGATAATTTTTCACCCGAAAGTGAATGTGCATATTTAATTGCCCTTGAAAACCTTACTTGAATGAAATTATTCCTTGATATTTTAAAATTTACTCAAAAAGTTTATATATTTGAGGTACCTTCAATTTCTTTGGGTTATAATATTTCAATAATAAGAAAAAGACAAATAGATTGTTCTCATCTTTATTAAAATACCCTGTTCTATAAGATTTTCTTTGTTATTCTTGATTTGTATGAGTAGGTAGCAATGTACAAATTAATTTCATGACTTGCTGAATACAGAGTTTTGAAGTATAATATGTTAATTTTAAGAAACATAAAGAATTGGTATAACATTCACTTTCAGTGGTAGTGTTAGGTATGCTGCTAATGAAATAAATTTCTGAAAATAAATAGTTTAATCATTTTCAAAAATACAATGCATACCAATCCTGTGTACCCATTAGTCTTTAAGATTCTCTTCAAAATTTATTAGCATTTAGAGAGTTTTCACCAAAGGTCAGAATAGAATGAACAGTATTTTTCATAAAGTCAAATTGTGCTTGGCAAAAATATTTTATTTCCATTAGAGACAGAGAGCATTATATCCGCACGTTCTCTTAAGCCCCGGAATATCTACCCCCACTCCTTTCCCAACATTAGTTGCATTAAGAATATATGATAGCGATGAGAGTTGTAGACAAAATCTGGTGAGGAGAAATGTTCACTCCCATGCATTAAAAACTATTTTGCATCGCAAAATGAACTACAAATTCAATGTAAAATTCCTTTTGTCAAAATAACCAAACTCCGCTCTCCTCTCGCATCTTGTGAAGCGAGGGCTCAAGAAAACGTGCGCAGATAATATCTAAATCTTCTCTCTCTTGTGTATTCTCTCTGTTGTGTATTGCTGAATAGATATTAAAACATGTTCCTTAGTGAAATTTAAAATTACACTAAGGAGGTAGTATTATTTGAAAAACAAGTTTAAATTGACAGTTGAAATGCAAGTTGTCAAAAAACAGTTTTCCTTTCTTGCCTTTATTCGTAAGAAGAGAAAGTATTGTAATTGTGTGCTGGAAAAACGATTTTTCGACAGAAAAACTCTTATTGCTGGGCTCTGGTGTGTCATCTGTCCATCTCAATTTTTTCAAAAAGTGATTCAAATTTCTTGATTAAAGTTTGCCCTCAACGTAAATTATGCTTAAAATTTTGGCACATATCATTTTTGTTAAAATCCCTAAATTTAAAAAATAGCAGAACTTCAAAATTGTTTTGGCATTTTTCTACAACTACAATAATGAAGTCTGATTGTTGTCTTTAGTAAAACTTGCTGTTGAAAGATAGATCTTGAAATAACGTCCTTTACCTTTTTTAGAAAATGTAGATAGTTTTCGTGTAATTTTGCATGAAATTTAGGCAGATTTTCTTCAAGAATGAAAACTGTTCTTTAAGACTGATATTCAAATTAGGTCACGTACAATTTTTTGAAAATATGAGTACTTTTCGCTTAATTTCATGTGAAATATACGCAATTAAAAAAATTGTTAAAACATATCAAAAAAGTCTCTCAAATTTTTTCTTTAAATTTGTTACATGTATGTATCAAAGGATAGTAAAACAGTTATTCAAATTTCTGGTAAATACTGTATTTTCGAAAATTGCAAAACTTTAACACTTAAAAATTACAAAATTGAAGAGAGACATTTGCTTTTGACGATATCTGTTCTATAAACTCTGCTATTTAGGTCATGTTCAATTGTTTGAAAGATAATTAGTTTTTGTGTAATTTGTGAATAAATTTACTGCAATTTATAAAAAAAAATATTCTCAAAAACTGCACCCAATTTTTCCAAAAACTCTCATACGACTCTCACGCGTGTACACATACACTGGCACAGACTTGCACACGCACACACACACGCACACGCACACACACACGCACACACACACGCACACACACACACGCACACACACACGCACACACACACGCACACACACGCACACTCAGAACTTTACACTACACACGCACTTGCGCAGACCTTTTACACTGCTAGTGTCATTACCCTATCACTTATAGGAGAAAGTAATTTACTTTGTATAGAAGCATGCAAAATCCCCATTTCTTGCATCATAACATAGTATTCTCCTACAAAGTTGTAAATAAGAGAATTCGGACATGAGAATGTGCTAGTTTATGTACCAGGGCTAATTGGCAATGCCCAGGTATGCAAAATGAGCCAAAGAAGTCTCAAAAACATTTTATTTTGATTTGTGCAGCATGAAATTGTTTATCAAATGATATGTATGCAAGGGCATTTCCATTATTTGAATATCTCGAAATTTTAGACCATTTGGCAAGATGAGCATGTCGTGGCCTCAGAATCACCAGGTTCTATCTAACATTTTTGCTGAATTTTTAATATGTTCAACTCTCTGCTATGAGGTCTGTAGCATATTAAATCAGTTTTCAAATCAGTCTTGTAGAAAACATATGAACAAAATGACTTACCATTTGTGTGTCATTGTTAGACACTTTCAAAGTGCGCTCCTGAAAATTTTCCTCAAATTCAGATAGAATCTTCTTATTCTAAGACACCAGTGTATCTCTCAGATATCTCACTTTCTCATATCGTATTAGAACTATGTAGATAGTGTGGTTAACTTATTGTAATCTCTAATCATTTTGCTTTCTCTAGTGTATAATAAGTGCATCATGAGCAAAACTACACCCCTCTGGACCCCTTAAGAACAAATCTTTATTTCTTTTGAAAAATTCTGCTAACCAGTCTTCCCCAGCAATTTCTTTTGTAGCCACAAATCTGAACATTTTACATTATTTGCAGTAGTAGTTTGATAGGCAAGTTAGCGGCATTTCTTTTTTGACAAACCGTAAAACTCTTTGCAGACAGCAATCACTTCCTCATGCAAAAACTACACAAGCAAACACTTACTTATGGCTGTCGATTGATTTGAGTTCATCTTCTGTACCAGAAAGTGATTTTATAATTTTTCCTTTTGTCTTAATGTTTTTCTCTTGACACCACATTCATCTGCTGTACTTCTTATGATTCTACCTTCTGCAAACAAATTAATTGTTCTCTTTATTTTTTCTTGTGTATCCCTTTGGTAGTTTTTCTCTTGTATGTTCTGGTAAACATCTGTAAAAGCATTGTAGCACATGACCCGTAGTGTTCCATCATCACTTAACCCATTTTGCCCCAGTAGTTCATTTTCAAAGTGGTCAGATTTGGTTTATATAATTAGTTATGGTAACTTGCCTACAATGAAGGAAGATAATAAAAACTTCAGGGAATTGCAATCTTCAAGTTCAATACCAGTATTAAAATGGCAAAAAATAATATTAAAACAAATACATGTTGCCAGTAATTTACTTCGGAAGGGAAAGATCAGTTAATAATACTTCTCGCTTCCATAAACCACGAAGTCAGATCATTGTCACGTGGATAGTATGTGTGGCCACACTGTATCAGTTAATCGTAAGTTTAGCCAACCTAACCATTCTGGATATCAGCGAACATTCAGTGACTCATCATACCCTTTGGCCTATGGTACACCGGCCTCCCTTATATGTAGCTATTATGTTTTATGAAGGTATGATATTAGTATATATTTTGTGTGACTTACTTTTTAAAACTGGAACCCTTCTGTTTTGTTTCAGGAACTTTGTAAAGTGCTGGGTGAAGATTCAAAGGTCTTGTCATCGGAGTAGGAAATCTAGAGTTAAGCAACTGATTTTCCATTCACTCTTTACAGGGTAAGGTTTTTATAATGCAAATCCATAGCCCATAGCTCAAATGTGCCAAAGGGACAGTTCAGTTACACAATTTACTTTAAATTATTCCAATGAACCACAGTAAGATTGTGGATATCTTTCCAAACTGGAAAGACTTTTATTGACTCTTGTATTTCATTTTCCATGTTGCTGGGTGACATGGGGAAGTTGTTAAAGGAAGTAACTTTTTAAGTAAGAATTATTTATAAATTGATGTGTGATTGGAACATTTGTATCAGAATGTTTCATATGTTGATATAGCTTTAATTTAAAAGTATTTTGTATTGTTATTTTCTGTTGCCTGTTATGTATAAGATTAAAAGAATATGGAAACTGAGTGCAATATTTTTCTTATGCTTTCCTAAGAATATAGTTCATCCTGTTACTTTACTTGCATAAATGTAGGATCAGAAGTTAGTACATGAATTTTATTTTTTAATAGCATTTCTTGGATGTGTATCAGTTGGGTATATTATTCTGGTTTATTTTATTTGCCATTAATAATATAATATCACATGTAGTGGGCTGTGCTTGTGTATTAATTTGTAGCTGGTGTTTGCTTTAGCTTTTTTGTAATATTGGGAAAGCATGACTTATCAGCTTGTCAGAGACTTGATACTATTCATTAAAACAATGAAACGGGAATCCTTCTTATTTGAATATCTTAAAAGCATGTTGCTAAAGTAATGGTACAAAAGTACTTTCTGTTAGCTCTCTGTTTTCCTTGTTAAAATGATTATGAATGTGTTGGTTGTTGTAAATTGGAAATTTTGAATACTATTTTTTTAATGTTTATGTTTTAGACTATGTTATTATTAATATAATCTTCTTGAGTTTTTTCATAGAATCCTATATTGTTTAAATTATATTTATGGTATTCTAAAATTTTGCATAGATTTCTATTGAAGTTTGTTGTGTGTATATATACATGCATACATCTGTGTCTTTGACATGTAACTTAGGAAGAAATTAATCGACTGAAGCATTTATATTAGATTCAAATTTCTTAATTTCACTTTCGTGCTCACAAAAACTTTTCTTGTTTGTTTCTTTTCAAATAAAATATAACAGCATAAGAAATAAAGTAGCCTTAGTGCTGGAAACACATTACTGAATAGCATCAGTCCATAGTTTGTCATTTGTGAAATTTTAAGGAATACATTAAGAATCTCTTGTCTTTACAAATAAATTGCAATGATAAAGTGCATTTAACTTTTGGAGAAAGTCTGATTTTTGTTATTTGCACTTATAAAGTTTATTTTTATCTCCTTAGTTCCTTTTCTGATTGAAGTGAAGATGTAGTCTTTTTTAAACAATTAGTGTGCATGTGGTTAAACTGGTTTGGTAGTTACAGTAATTGAAGAATTATATTTATTGACAAATTGCATTGAAAAGCAACATTTCATAAATAATAAAGAAGCAATGATTGGATTTTGTTTTACTTAAAAAGTACTCTCTTTAACTGCAGAATAATTTGGATGCTAAGTTGATGTGGTGCATCTAAGCCCATGAAGCATTTAAATATTAAATGAAAAGTGTTTTTTGTTGATGTTACAATGTATGTTTGGCAGTAGTTCTCCATATTCTTATAAGTTGAGGAAATGAAGCAAAAAATTAGTATAATTAAAATTATGAAAACTTAATGTTTCGTGTAAAAGTGCTATTAATCAAATCTGGTTTGAGTGTACTGTATATTCAAATCTTGTACACCCAAATCAGCAAACCAAAAGCAAGAGGAGAAGAAATACTGTAATGGAATTTGGTAATTTTGAATGTTAAGTCAATTCACAAATTATTTAGAATAGAAGCATATGGAAAATTCCATCGCTTCACAAAATTGTTTTGAGTGAATTATTGTATCATCATGTCATGCAAATTTTATCTGTGAAATGTCAAACTTACAGTGATGTGTTAAGTTCTTGTTTTTTGTAGTTGAATTTTAGTAATGACACTTTAAATTTATGTATATTAACACATCAAATCCTTTCTAATAGATACTTCTCTAGCCTACGAAGGGTATCAATGTTTCAACATCAGTGACTTGTACTACCTTTAAATACTCATGCCTACTTCTTGATACATGCATTGCCTTGAACTTTTACTGTACTTGCATGTATACAGGATATTTGTGTGATCTGTGTTGGTGCAGTGACCAATATCATTTTGTTGAGTCTTGGGTACCAGTGACAGATATATATTACTTTTATATTTTTAGCACATTTATTTCATATCCCAGTTTGTCAATAATGAATTAATTACTGGTTCTTATTAATGACAAAATGTAGTTTTATGTTTTTAAGTGATCAGTGGTTTGACAACTATATATTTTGAGATGTTGTCAGAAGTTGAATGCACAATTATTTTAATGAAAAAAAGTGACACATTTTTTTGCATTTCCAACAACTTTTTTAAGCCCTTGAGGCCTTATTGATTCATTTTAGTAGCTAATTCCACCGCCTTTGGATTCTTGTTTTGTCTTGTATTCAAATTTATTAATATTCTTTATTCTTAAATTAGTGATTTAAAAAGTGTTTACATAATCTCTGTATTAAAAAAGTTGTTGAAGATCAGTGAATTTACAAAGGATAGCAGAAGTATTTTGATGTACATCCTTTGAATGATTTCTCTTACAACTAAAACTAACTTTTCTCAAGTTTATTTTTTGTGTTATTTTTCACTTGTGACTGGACAGTGTAGTATATTTCAGTATAAAATCCTTGTCCCAATATTTATACAGTGGCTCTCCTTGAAGATTTGGGTATACAAATGTCTATGAGAATACTTTATTAGGAAATACAAAACAACAAAGTTGTAGTTCACTCTGGTAATTGTTAACTGTATATCCATATGGTATTGAGTAGTTGACTTTCATTGGATTCAAGCAGCATCTTTGGATAATTATTTTTTTGTTCATTAGTAATTTTAAGAGCAAAATAAATTAATTTTTCTTAATGAAAAATGTAACATTTGAAATTTGAAAAACATAATATTTGAATCGACAATGCAGAGTGATGAAAATGTTGCTTTTATCCATGAAAATTGATTTACTAACCAGCTACTGTAAATTTGTTCTGGCAGCTACTGAGTACTTCAATTGTTTGGATAAAATTCTTTATACTGATATGTTTGGAGCCATTTCTTAAGTATTGGATTATCTACATATGACATAAAACTAGCATTGAAAATAGTTGATATTTTCTATTATTGTCTTTTATTGTAAGAACTGGTATCGATTCATTATTTCTAGTATTTATTGAAAGAGAAATTACCATTGTGCCTGAAGACTTACACCTACAATACAGTGACTGTAAATGATGCGAAAGATTGGAAAATGAGAATGAAACATTTGAAATGCCCAGACCAATTTTTACAAAGTTGATTGGAAATTATGTCAATACGGGATTCCATTGAACTAGCGAACGATTCTGTAAAAGAGTGAAATATTTTGGAGACCATGAATTGTGTTGATTTGATGGTAGAGTGGTGATCTAATCATTTGACATAACTTTTAATCATGACAGTCATGCATATATATAGAGACTTGGTGTTGATCACGCAAGTATTTTGTTATTTCTACAATTACAAAATACAAGTACAAACTGAAATTACATCTTGTATATTTTGTTACATTATCTTTCAAAGATGGAAGGTAAGAGTGGTACAGGTAAAATGCATATAAAATAGTTCATCTTCAGAATGTACTCTACTAGCCAGGTATTTTAATCCTTAATTTAATTTATTCTCGTTTTGCAAAATCATTTCAAACCAATGAGAATTAAACTTGTATTTTAAATCTTGAAATCATTTAATTAATTTTTTGCTTTTATACTCAAATAAATAAACTAGAATTTCAAAAGAGTACACTTGTAATTAAATGTAATCACAAAATACAGATACAGCTAAATGCATTGTAAAATGGTTTTTTGTACAGTGACCCAGATGGCATTGTGTGTTTCAGAGATATACTCATTTTAATTTAGAATTTATATTTAAAGAATTTGTGATCCTTCTTCAAGTAATTCCTGGTGCAGTAATTTTCAGAAAAAGAACTCTGAAATTGGTATAACATGATACTGGCATGCCCTTCAGCTTTCTTATTGTAGCCACCCACTTTCTCTTGAAAGTGAAAATGAGATTTACATAATGTTCTAAAAATAGGTAATCTAATTTCTATTTGGTGTATTTGGGTCTTCCACATAAATACATTGATTGGTGCTTGTAGAGTAATATAAATTACCATTCTTTGCTGAGGAAATTTGCTTGCTTCCTAAATTAGAGTATTTGTCATTGTAGTTACATGCTGACAAATAATACATTAAATTAGCTTATTCCATTTTTCAACATATTACTAGGAATACTTTTATCTGCTAAACTTGAGCATCTTTATTAATTCTGTTATACTGGATTATTCTGTTCTGTTATACTTGAATTGAAATATTTATTAGTTTCAATTTTTTATTGATGCTTCCTCACATACTATCCTACCTGGTAGATATTTCATTGTTCCTTTATTCATATATTGAAATTTTTAACCTTAATCCAAAGTGATTATATAGATAATGCAGAATTGATATAAACAAATTATTTTTATAGACAATTTTTGCAGGCTGTACTCTTGTAATTCATGGCATTGCATTACTTCTATTTAATGTAGTTTTTGGTTGTCAGTATTAATAATTTAAACTCTGTAAACAATTCAATGCAGTATGTAAGAGTAAGATGGTAATGTTGATCATAAGACTGTTCCAATTGTTCTGAGATATTTTCAATTATATATTTCTTTGTGGAAAATTAATGTTTTTTGTTGTAGATATTATTTTCCTATATCTCTTTTATTTCAGCCTTAATAATTCATAGTCTGTTTTAAAATGACCTTAGTTAAACTTATCTGTATTATTGCAATATGAAGTGGTCTAGTGTTTATTATTTACTAGAATATTTTTTTCTATATATTTTTTACTATATATATATATTTTTTTTTTGTTTTGAAAAAACAAGGATACAAATCTAAAAATCCATTTTTTAAATTTGGAATGTTTATGTAATTTCTTTACTCTTCAATTATTTACTTCTGTGTTCAAACAAAAATATTCAGTTTAAAAAAACACGAAAGCAAATTACACAGCAAATCATCAGAATGTATTGAAGTAAGTATTGTGAATTTATTGATATTGAAACATGAAAGAAGTGCAATAATAGCTTATATTTTAATTTTTAAATTTATTAACTATTAAGTAAATGTTTTGTAGATCATGGCATTGTATAATAATTAAACACTTATGAAGCATGAACAATATGAAGGTGTTTCACTATAACTTTCTAAGAAGGAAAACATCAAGGATGATTCATTATTTTGTGATATTTGGAAATGAGCTATGTTTAGTGGATTCTTAAATATGTTTAACATTCATTAAACATGTCTGTTACATTACTCATCAGTAGAATAACAGATCCAAATTCATTCACACAAATTTTTTTTGAATGCAAGTTTGTAGGTTTTTGCTTAGTTTGAAACTCAAGATGTCAAAAAATTAGTATAAAAAAAACATTTTTACATGATGTTACGGGTGAACTTGACAATTCGTTACTCATATTACGTCTCTCTTCCTCTTAGATAAGAAAACTATTCACGTTTTATAGCTGAAGAATTTTCCTTCACTTTACTTTTAAAGACTTTTACTTGATTTGATACTTTGGTATGTATATTTAGTTACTTTTTATTTTGTTAAAAGTTTGACTTCTTGAAGATGCACAGTATTTTATAGCATTAAATAGTAAATCATGAAATTTGGTGTGATTTTTACGTAAAATTATGTTAATTATAAAAAGCGAATACTTTAGTTAATCAGGATGCTCATGGTTTATCAGGATTTATTTGATTTATGTTTTGAACATTTCAAATAAAGATAAAACATTAATGAAGAGGAAGGGACTTGTATTGTCTATTGCAAAGAGGAATGCTTTTCTCATTCTGCAGCAGTTTCATTATCGCCCCTTTGTTTATTTGATGGTAATAATCAAACTGTAACGTATCAAGAAATTTAGGTTCTGAATATTGTTATGGAATTTTTTATTTGTGTATATTCCTGGAACGTTTCATTGAAGGAAAACTATGCTGAGATTCTTAATGTGATAATAGCTTTGGGAGTTTTGTTCGAAATGTTTCATTATCAATTTCAATTTCTTGAAGGATAAGAATGATTATAGCTGCTCAACCTGTCAACGATAAATAAGTGACATTAAAATTCATTCTAAATTACATTAATGGCTAGTGTTATATTGTCACTGTTTAATTTGGACGTTGATGATTTACATAATCTTCTTGCACACTGAAGTTTGGGTATTGTGACAGTTAAAAATTTAGTGTTCGCTATTGTGAGGCTATAAATCAATATATAATTAAAGTACATTTCTTTGTAAACTTAGTATATTGGGAAGAGAATGCATTTGCTGTCTGGGTTGCTTTTCTGCTTCTTTATGATAAATGTATATTCTTTAATGAATGGTTAAACAATATGCATAATTGAAACACCAACAGATATTGATACTTTTTTATGGCTTTTTAAATGTAGATAAACATTTAATTGTATTACGAGCTGAAATTGTGTGAATGGTATATACTAGTGTGTTGCCACTTGTGCATGTATTATGGGCATAATTAAGAATGATAATTTATTCACAATTACATCTGTGATTGCTACATTTTTTTAAATAATAGTATGGTGCCTATTGCATTGTATAGATAAATTTTTTTAATTAGCTTTAAAAATAATGAAGAGATATATTTAGAAAGTGTTTAAGTACTCACATGTACAAAATTGAAAGAGAAACTTTTTCATTTATCCATATATCCATAGGAATAGAAGAACTTAGAGACTGAATATGAAACTTCACATAATTTCTGAAAATCTTCTCATAGAATTCTTGATATTAAAACCTAATATTCTTTATCCTAACAATTATGAATATATTAAAAATATTGTATGCTTACATTCATCAATTTATTTACTGATAAGACCTTAAAGAAAGGGTATCTGATTGTTTATTTGTGTTGGTTTTTTTGTTAGTGTTTTAGTTTAAAGGAAGGGAAATATCTTGAAAACAAAAATATTGGAAAACTTGTTGGCTCCATTTATGATTTGTGGTGGACTTTGTGACTGCTCTTTTATATACATGGTTGTCTATTCTGTTACAAATATGAGAAAAGTTGAGATTATTTTTACCTTTATTTTGTATATGAATTTTTTTGTTTGCTAGTTTGCATAACTACACAGTTGAAGAATTTGATATCTAAAATGTCTTAAATGTGTGTTCTGACAAATCTTACAATACTGATACTATTGCTACCACATTACCATAGATAACCTTGTAATGCATACAGGTGACAGGTCTGATGACTATTACAGAAGATGATCTATTACAGAAGCAACAACAATTATATTTTGAGTGTAAAATTTATTTTTGAAATTGGCATTGCAAGTTTTATATTTATGTATAGTTTTAATTTATTTAAAAAAAATGTGGAAAATGCAGTTTTTGTATTTTTAAGATATAGCTGAATAGCATATTTTTTTAAAAATAACTGACTTTATTTTTGAGTTACAGATGAACACAACAATGAGAGATGAGTTGTATTTATTCACTCTGAAAAAAAGTTAATCAAAAAATTGATAAAGTTTTCAGTGGGTAAAAGGGTAATGTAATAGTAGCGTTACACTCAGCCCATGTTCGAATATTATTTGTTAGTTTTACTTGAAAGTTAGATAAGGTTATACTGTAAAATTAAAAAGTATTCTGTAAATTTAAATTGTACCTATATTCAAAAGTATGAAGAAAATTCAAGAACAGAAATATAAATCAGTAATGAATGAATAATTTGTGAGGAAGGTGAAACAGCTGCAGTGAATTATGTAATGCTCATTGTCATTTGTTTTGTATCATAATTTTCCATTTGCTTTAGTTTGTTTTTAATTGTTCATTTTATTTATATATGCGATATTAATATTAAGAAATACTTCTACTTCTAGAAGTATATTCTGAAAACTGAACGGAATTTCATGTTAAAATGTTTTTTGTGTATGATGTAGCTTATAATTTCATCTGTAGAATAAGAATCAATTTTATATCACACATCTTGCAGATGAATTCAGTTTTGTTTAAGTACTTGCTTCTTGTCTTGAATCATTTTATTGTAGGCAAAATTAAGCAGTAAGACATTTGTGACAATAAGTGCAAGAAAAACTTCAAGAGGCAAGAGCATGCCTAAGTAACTTTGTATGAAACATAGTTAACATTTAAATTTTGCGTCTTCTTATTTTTCAACCTTGTAGTAAATGTATGGCATTATTACTAACATATAATATTTTTTAATTTGTTTTGATCTTTATTTATAGTTTATGAAATCTTTTGTTTTATGAATATTTATGTTATCTAAGTGTTAAATAGAACATATTGATATTTTGTTGTTGCTGACCTGTACCTATTTGTTGCAAACTTGTGAGAACTGATTCAGTGCTGGAAATTCAATTGTTTACGGAGTTAATATTTTTAGTGCTTAGCATTTGTTGCCAAAACTCATGTGTGTATGTATAAAATATGTGAAAAATAGATTCTTTTATGTTTTGTTGGTTGTGTTAAAAACAAAAACCATTCATTACTCATTCTGAGTAATTTTCTGTTTTCTGATTCCTAACTGGTGACCAATCTCATATATACATATTGTTGGGATTGTGTCAATATTTAGTAGCAGCATTGTGTATTACATGACTGCTGATTGGACGTACCTGATATGTATAAGTACATGAAATACAAGCTTTAGACTGGATAATAATTTAAACTGATTAATATGTGAACAATGAAACTAATTCATTTATACAATAGATATTTACTGATTAAATCTAATATCAGTCATTTAAGTGAATAAGAAAAAGGAATTTAAACAAGTATTTTTTCATATATCTCATCTTGTAGGATTTTGTGTGCCTTCCGCAGAATTTTATTTATGAAATGAGGTTTGAAAATACATGTAATCTAACAGTTTGGAAAATGGCCATGGATTACTGAATTTAAACGAATAATACATTATATGATTGTTCTGTTTTATGTTGAAAATATTTGTTATATGTTCATTGTACATCGTATTGTATTTCTTTCCTGTACTTCAGAATGCCAGTGTAGTTTTCATTTCTGAAACTGATACATATTACTTATTATAAACAGACAAATAAAGTTGTGTTCCTTTTGGGTTTTTATCTAGTCATGTTTGTTTTCATGATAAATGTCATTTTTTTACTCTGCAGACGCTTTGAAAATATTTATATGAGGTACAGGCATGATATGCAATAATTATTTTTTGTTTTGTCCATCAGAAAAGTCATGTAAAGACAATGACAAAAATATATTTTGTATAATTTAGACAATTATGTTTTTGAATAAACAATTTATCTCTAATTTAATTCTGTATAGTTATTTTCTAAACATGGTCCTTGGAAAAAAGTATAAGGTGGTATATTTGTTCAAGTA